CACAACGAATGCTTTCATCCAATACTGAACAAACCTGTTAAAAAAAAATATTATGTAATCATTATAGAAATATTGTTTTTTTAAATATTATTATATAACCTTATATAGTAAAACATTTACCTCATCCTTATTATCAACATGTATAACTTTATATTCTTCAACTTCACAACAAATGCTTTCATCCAATACTGAACAAACCTTTTTATAAAAAATGTAATTATTATAATAATATTATTATTTTTAAATATTATCATGCTTTCATCCAATACTGAACAAACCTGTTAAAAAAAAATATGTAAGTATTATATAAATATTGTTTTTTTAAATATTATTATATAACCTTATATAGTAAAACATTTACCTCATCCTTATTATCAACATGTATAACTTTATATTCTTCAACTTCACAACGAATGCTTTCATCCAATACTGAACAAACCTGTTAAAAAAAAATATGTAAGTATTATATAAATATTGTTTTTTTAAATATTATTATATAACCTTATATAGTAAAACATTTACATCATCCTTATTATCAACATGTATAACTTTATATTCTTCAACTTCACAACAAATGCTTTCATCCAATACTGAACAAACCTTTTTATAAAAAATATAATTATTATAATAATATTATTATTTTTAAAAATTATCATATTGCATAAATAATATATTTTTATGCATTGTTTTATTTTAATAATTTATTTCAAGCAGTGTAAAAACAGATAAGAAGAAAATCAAATTTAACTCAAAAGATATCAATTCGTAAAGATATCAATACCATAATTAACCAGAGATGACAGATTAAAATAACATTACTCACTTCATGTTTATTTTTAACACTCATTACATTTTCTTTTCGAGAAATAGGCCTTTTATCGATATCAGCATTAACTTCAATGTCAAAATGAATTTCTTCATCTAATTCTATACAAACCTGTTTAAAAAAATATTTAAAAAAAAATGTCAAAAATATATTAAAAGATCATTAGATTTTGTTGCATTAACTTTGAGAACTTTTAGAACAAATGTTTTTTTATAATAATTTTTTAAAATTAAAACGAAAACTTTTAAAATTAGTACACAACTTAGCTTCTTTTCAGACAAAAATTGTTGTCTCTTATATGTATGTATAAATATATATATTATATTATATAAAAAAGTATATTATAAATATGTAATTTTCACTTCCCATAATACTTAAGTCAGTTAAAGGGTTGAGAATCAGTAGTATGAAAAATAAAAACAATTTGAAAACTCACCCTTGTCACTAATTCTGATACTAGTTCTGTAATTATAAAGTTCTGAAAAATATAGCCAAGTTATTTTATTAAAATGTATTAAACCCATTCAAAAAAGATATATAAAATATAAAATGTTAAAATAAAAATTTAAATTTTTTAAATGATATTGAATTTTCAATCAAAATAACTTTACTTTATTAAAAATAATTTCAATAGTAATTAGATAATATATAATTACTTTTCATTATTTATGTCTGAATAAGCAAATAAGTAAATAAAACAAACCTTATCTTCTTTTTCAACTGTAACACATTCTTTTTTAACACTCACAGTTTCTTGATTTGACCATCTTTGTAAACGCTCATGTTCTAAAATATTATAACACAAAATCAAAAAGAAAGAAAACATAAAATGAAATTAGATTTAATTAGTTGAGATAAACAATTTAAAAAATTAGCAGGAACTGTTATAAAATAACATAATATTACTAAATGCGGTAGTGGTGTAGATGCGGTAGTGGTGTAGTGGTAGAGCGCTCGCTTCATAAACGAGTGGTTCCGAGTTCGATCCCCACCATGTCCCTGGTAGTACCGCGCTCAACTCGTTTCTCTGCGCAGCGGCCTTGTTCGTCAAGGTTCGTGTTTCGGAGTTATAGAGTTGAGAGAGGGTTATAGCTACAAATAAGTAGCCTCCTTGTCTGTAGTGGCCTTCTCGGCCTTGAGGAGGTGAATTAAAATAAAAAAAATATATATATAAATATAATTATTTTTCAAATAAAACAAGTATGGAGAAAACATACTAGCTATTTGAGATCTTTTTAGCCTTTCTATTACATTTTCTGTAAAAGACTTACCGCAGTCTAAAATAAATAACAAACAATAAACAAATCAATGCAAAACAGCTTAAACAAACAATATAAAATTACATTTTAGAATTTAGAATTTTAAAATTAAACTTACAATTTATATTTATTTTGTAAAACACATACTTAACAGACTTTAAAAAAAAAAGGAATAAATTTACTAATTTATAAATTAACTAAAGCAATAAATTGATTAAAAACTTAGATTATTTAAACTTAGATTACCAGATGATTTATCAAATTCATCTCCCTCTGACAATTCTTGATTCCTTAGATAAAATATAGCAAATATAAACATTTTAGAAAGATTTGAAACAAAAAATAAAGATTTCAAAGCACTTTCACATATAATGTGTAAACAACTTTTATAGTTTAAACAAGTTTTCTTTGAAAAACAATATTTTGGTTATTTAACCGCTTTATTTAGACATTATTTAGACTCGAGTTACATTCAGTTAAACGAAAATGTAAACCATGCTACCCCATAACTATATTTTTTTGTAACCATCCTATTACAGGCAAACTTAATTAAAACTATCTTGGAAAAATAATAAATTACCTATCAGAAATATAAGTCATTATTAAAACTTCAGCCTAACAATAAATCAAAGCAGTATACAAACATCTTTAAAAAATAAAAACAAGTATAATTAAAAAAATAATAAATAATTCAAACTAAAATAATAACAAAATAAAATATATATATATATATATATATATATATATATATATATATATATATATATATATATATATATATATATATATATATATATATATATATATATATATATATATGTATATATATATAAAAAATTCATAAAAACTATATCAACTAGATAATACTTGAATTCTTGACATGCCCTCAACCTTGGCAAATAGATAAATAATGGCTTCTGGAACCAATACTTTGAAAACGTATTCATTATGCTATATTAAAAAAAGGTCACAGTGATGCAATGTTTTTTTTTTTTTTTAAAGATTATTGCACTCAGCAAGTATGGGGTCATCTATATACTACATATGCAGTGAGGGGGGAGTGTCATAAGTTGAGTAAGTTTTGTATGAGTGTGGGAGTGAGAGGAAAGGGTTCAACAAATATATGTATGCAAACCCAAAAAATTGAGATGGCAGTTCACCTTCACTTCCCCATTAATAAATGGTGAACGCTTATGTTCATGGCCTGTTAAGATTATTAAGGTTGAATAACGCAAAAAAAAATTTTTTTTTTTTTACGTTTGCAAGCAACACTAGAAAAAAAAAATTTTTTTTAATAAATTAACACTACTGTTATCTTATTTGTAGAAATTAAATTTACTTTTAATTAAAATTTTAATAAGATTAAAATCACACTTCAAGACAATTAAATTATTGATTTAATTGTTTTAAAGTGTGGTTTTAATCTTTTTTAAAGTTTTTCAAAATAAAACCTACGTAATGCGGAAGGCTTATGACACAATATAGACATTTTAATTCAAAAAGTTGTTTATGTCGACAAAGAAACAAAAAAGCAACCCAGTCTTTTTTAAGAAAATGGATAACACTGATAGAAACAATTGACTGAATGTTATACGTTAACGTAACGTTATAAGTAACGTAAATAATAAAGTTGGGGGAGAGGGTTAAGCACACAAAGCATATGTATGCATAAGAGGAGGAGGGGGAGAGATAAAATGTACAAGGTCCAACAGGAGGTAAGGGGAGGTCCAAATCTGGAGATTTATGCATATGTAATATATAGATGGCCCCTAAATTTTTCATTTTTATTAAATAATGCATTAAAAAAACATAACTTAAAACTTACTTTTATAGAATTATATGATCGAGCCAAAGCACTATATAGATTGTGTTGCTGATCCTCATTTAATATGTCTATAAGTTCTTGATCACATAAATTTCCTAGTTTATAAAGCAATTTAAATAAATAATAGTTGACTAAATCATTTTTTTAGAAATTAAAAAAAATACGGCATACTTTTACTTTCTTTTCCTGAATAAAATAAATTGTGCCTGTAACTGTAAACCTAAAAGTCATTACACTGAAATGTTAATTTTTCAAATTTACCTCTCTCTTTCTTTCTCTTTCTCTTTCTCTTTCTCTTTCTCTCTCTCTCTCTCTCTCTCTCTCTTTATATATATATATATATATATATATATATATATATATATATATATATATATATATATATATATATATATATATATATATATATATATATATGTATATATATATATATATATATATATATATATATATATATATATATATATATATATATATATATATATGTATATATGTATATATGTATATATATATATATATATATATATATATATATATATATATATATATATATATATATATATATATATATATATATATATATATATATATATATATATATATATATAAATACAGTGAAATCCCGATATCTCGAACCCCTAAACCAAACTCAAACATTCCTTAAGTTGAAGAATTTTATTTGTCCCTGTGGCTGATGTTTTGTTGGTAACCCGAACTTTAGAAGAAAAAAATTAAAACAAAATCTTATTTAAAGTTATTATTATTGATTTATTAAATTAAAATTTTTCAATTTTTTAAATATCAATAAAAAAATATATAAAAAATTTCAAAACTAAGACAGAGAGTCATTAGTAGATGTTATATTATATGAGGTATTTTATTTATCATTTAAGATCGGATAAAAAAAAACTTTTAATAACTAAAAATAATTTCACTTATCTTTAAAATTTCTAACTAATTTTTTGGTCCTGCGTAGTTTCGAGTAATCAGGAGTTCACTGCATATATATATATATATATATATATATATATATATATATATATATATATATATATATATATATATATATATATATATATATACATTCAAAATATAAAATATAAAATATAAAATTCAAATTCCAGTTGAACCCTTGCTAACACTATCTCATAATAAACACTCAATAGCTAGAACCCCAATAAATAAAATATTTGCTAAGTCCAATATTTTTATTTGTCACAGTAGATGATATTCTGCCAATTACCTAATTTTTAGAAAAAAAATATACACAAAATCTTAAAGAAAATAAACAGTTTTTATTCATTTAACTGATTTTTTTTTTGAATTTTCTTAATACCAATATTAGAGAGAAAAACTCAGACAGAATGACATTTGCACATTTCTAAATTTATGATATACTTTATTAACCTTTTAGGTTTAATTTAAAATAAAAAAAAAATTATAACTAAAATTATTTTCAACAAGGGCTATTAAATTCAACAATCTAATCATTCAAACCCTTAAATAGTTGGAGTTTTTTATGTTGTATACTTTTTTTTTACGATTTCTTTTTTAAGCGAGTGCCATCGCCTTAACTAAGAAGCTTTGATTGCTTTGAGCATAAATATGTAAAAGAACAGATGTTTTTATCAATAATAAATTTTTTTTAATTATATAATAATAAACTAAAATCTATTGGTATTGTACCTGACCAGAAAATATAGATTTAAGTAAGTGAGAAGAAGCAATCTCCTCTATTTTTTCTTTAGTCATTTTTTGAATACCTAAAATAAAAAAATATTTTATTTTGAAACTATTATTTATTTTAAATAAATTTAAAAGTAACAAATAAAAAGTGAAACTTATTATTTGTTTATTTTTACTGTTTTTCCCACAAACAGTTTCTTTCTGTTAGAACTAACTAATTATAACTAAATATAAAATAATCTTACTTCCCAGCATTAAACTTTAAATTAAAATAAATTCTACATTACTAATGATTAGTAACTAATTAGAACTTTTTTCTAAAATATTTTTAAAAACTTTCTTAAAAAACAATAACAAAAAATAGTAGAAAAAGTAATTATGATATATCATAATTATTTTTTCTACTACTTTTTGTAATAAATTTTCTACTATTTATTATAATAAAGTAATATACTTTATTATAATAGGTCTTTGTTAGAACAAATATTTATAAAATCTAACAATTAATTTATACATCTTAATTTGTATAACTGCTTATCAAAAAAGTTGCATAATAATAATAGCCACCAGCAATTTTCAAACCTTTTAAAAAAATCAATTGCTTTAAACGGTAGTACCTTAATTGAACCATAAAACTGTAATAAAAGTTGCAAGTAATTCTCTGGATTTAACTCAATTTTATCTTATTTTAATTTTAATTTTTTATATACAATTCTCTATGAAACATTAATTGGCCTAAGTCCTTATAATTAAAATTTTAAAAACAATTTTTCTAGGTAAAATACATTTTTCAGTCCATTATTTTTAAAAAATAAAATGTAAACAACCTAATTTTTTAACTTTTAAAAGTTTCCATATGTTTGGGTCCTGTAAAAAAGGGTAGTTTTACATAAAAATAGGGTAATTAGCATAGATCATTCCGGTCATATTTTGAAAATCCGGAAAATTGTTTGTGTAAATTATCTGACAAAAATCAGAAATATTTTTCCCCTTATTTTCTTCTTAACTTTGCTTTCAGCTGAGTTGTTTCTTAATTTTTTCCCAACTTTTGTATGAGTCAATTATATTACACAAATAAATTAACTTGCATAAATGGAAAATCCTTTGGATAAAACTGAATTAAACAAAATTGTGTAAATAAAACATGCAGCAACATATTTGGCTTTAGATAGATACTTAACAAAAAAAACACTTCAGATATTTTTTGCTTTAAAAAATATATATATATATCTTTTGTGCTAGAGAACTTTTAACTAATGCAGAAAAAAATAAAATTTTCAGTTGGAAAGTTTAAACTTTGTTTACATTTTCTTTTTTTTAATAAAGCATTTCTTTAAAATATTTCAAAAAAATGGTGTCTTTAAAAACAGTTTATTTATGTCAATTTTAACTTATTTTTTTTTATAATATAACTTCTAGTTGATTATAGAATTTTTATTTTTCAGTTAATTTGTATTTTCTTATAAACTATCTACTCCAGTTTGAAGTAACTTAATACCAAAAATTGCTGGTATCAAATAAAAAATGAAAAATTTACCTCTACCAATTATATAGTCTTTTTTTGTTGGGGAAACTTTGCAACAACCTTGTTAATGAAATAATTAAATTATGCAAATTAAAAAACACAAACTTCATTTTTATTTATACAAATTTTTAATTTAAACAACTTAAAGGTTTATGCAATCGACTGAATTTTGTTTTATCATTAAAAAAATGTTTATTTTAGAGTTAAGTGACTCTCTTATTGACAAATTTAACAAATCAACGAGAGTCTCGTTGATTTGTTAAATTTGTTTAACATACCATCCAAATTTGAATTAAAATTTTAACATATTGCACAATTGAATACTTTCATATTGTATATGTATACTATGAAATAGTATATGATGATAGTATTAGTATAAACAAGTATTAGTTAACCTAATAACAATTGAATAATAAAAAACATCAAAAATTTAATACCTGCACATACTTTACACACAACATAGCCATCCCCAATTGTTCCTCCATGGCATTGGATGTCTATTATTTTGTTACACAGGGCACATATGGTTCCAGTTAGGGAAGCGTCCCCAGAACATACGTGGCATTTTACCATTTTAATAATTATTTGTTGACTAAATATTTTTAAACTTTAAATTTAATTACTAAGATTTTCGTATTATTAAACATACAAAAACATATCAAATTCTTTAAGAAATATTAAACGTTTTATAGAAAATTTTAACTAATATCATATTAGGTACAAAGTTCTATAAACCATTTAATACCTATCATTGCTTTAAAAATTTGACTGAACATATATTCAGTACAACATAAGGCACAATAGATAATAAAATATGTATTCAAGTAAAAACAATTTATTTGAAATACTACATAAGTTAAATATTTCTCAATAAATTTAATTTTTATAATCTTTTAATGAAATCAAACTTTTGGAAACAATTATAAACTTTCAAAACTTTTCTTGAACAAATTTCCAGCGATTCCTCGAGTAAGTTTAATGGCGAAAACTGAAGTTTATTTCAACCGTTGCCGATTTAAACTCTTGCGGGTTGCAAAAACGAATTTAAACACATTGAAGTTGCAAAAACGAACGACGTGGATGCAAAAACGAAACTAAGTTGCAAAAACGAACGCTTAAGTTGCAATACCAAAGAAAAAGCCGCAAAAACGAAAAAAAAAGTGGCTATACCGAATTTAAACATGGTCATCATCATCATCATCATCATCATCATCAGTATATGGTTCTCTGTTCGTTATTGCAACAAGGTCATCGGCTCACAGGATTTTAGATTATTGGCGTGCCGCTCAGTATTTTTAAAATTTTTTTTCAGTATAACCAATAAGAAAGATCTAAACTTTTTAGATATGTTATTTTTGAAAAAAAAATTTGAGCAAAAACTTTAAATATAAAAGCCGTTCTAAAAAATGCGTTGCATTACCGAATGCATCGAAAAAGAGGGTTTATGCATGGGGATCATAAAAATGACATTCGGGTATGTTTTTTTTATTCATTTTCTTCAAATCAAGCTATAAACTAAAGAAATCCACATTTCTAAATTTTGACATTTTTCATATCATCGTGGCGTTTTTATGTTTCTGAGTTCAAGTAAACTTTATATAATATATTAGTTAACAAATCTCGTACTTGGGTTTTCAAAAAAAAAACGTTTAACAAAATTTTTTTTATATACATTTTTAAGAAAATTTTTTCTGCTGGATATAATATTTACTAAATCGAATGTCTAAAAAGTATAAACTTTGCTTTTAAAACGAAAAAGATTTTTTGGAAATTTGGTTTTAACTGTGAGGTGTTGCATTACCGAAACTACTCAGGTTGCATTACCGAACTTTCTGGTTTTCGCTTATAAATGAATTTGAAAGGTCTATTTTGCAATCATTTTTAAGTTACTATTTTAAGATAAAACTTATTTACTCTTTTTTATCCAAAAAATAAAATCGATGCAAATAATAATTGTAAAATCGAACGGAAATTATTCAATGTCTCAGAGGCATGTTATAGGACTTTCAGGGGAACGAAACGGACAATCAATTAAAACAGGGGAAGTTTTTTATTACAGAATATAAAACTATATATTAAACGTTTATGTAAATAAATTTTAAATGAATAAATAAAGCTTTTAATACAACGTAGCTATAGTTAACAAATGCGCTCATTTTGAATACACAAATAACACTACTTTTGATTATTTTAAAATAAAAACTTTACAACAATCTTCTGACATTTTTCTTTAAATCAAAGTAATAAATTTTTCAAGTATTTTTAAACTAATTTTGACTTTATGAAAAAAATACACTCAGCAAATTGTTGTTTTAAACAATCTTCCCAGCAAAAATTTTACAGCGGAATTTTAGTAGACTTTTATAGGCATTTTGAGAGTTTCCCGCTTTTTTTCCACTGTGAAAAGGCTCATTGGTTACATAGTGGACCACAATTGCCAGTCGCCATAATGGCTAGCCAACAACTAGCTTTTATATTACATGTTGAAGAGTTATTGGCTAGCCACTTTTAGCGAATCCCTTAAGAAACCTATGAGCAAAACTCTAATTAACTGCTCAAAATGCTTATATAGGTCCATTGAAACGAAAAAGATTTTTTGGAAATTTAGTTTTAACTGTGAGGTGTTGCATTACCGAAACTACACAGGTTGCATTACCGAACTTTTTGGTTTTCGCTGATAAATGAATTTGAAAGGTCTATTTTACAATCATTTTTAAGTTAATATTTTAAGATAAAACTTTATTCTTTATACTTTATACTTTATACTTTATTTAAGATAAAATTTTATTTTATCTTAAATTATTACAAAACTTTATTCTTTATACTTTATTTAAGATAAAATTTTATTCAAAAAATAAAATTGATGCAAATAATAATTGTAAAATCGAACGGAAATTATTCAAAGTCTCAGGGAAGTGTTATAGGACTTTCAGGGTAAAGAAACGGACAATCAATTAAAACAGGGGAAATTTTTTATTACAGAATATAAAACTATATATTGAAAGTTTAAGATAATAAATTTTAAAGAAATAAATAAAGCTTTAAATACAATGGTTATAGTTAACAAATGCGCTCCTTTTGAATTCACAAATAACACTATTTTTGATTATTTTAAAATAAAAACTTTACAACAATCTTCAGACATCTTTTATAAATCAAAATAATAAATTTTTCAAGTATTTTTAAACTAATTTTGACTTTATGAAAAAAATACAGACAGCAAATTTTTATTTTAAACAATCTTCTCAGCAAACATTTTACAGCGGAATTTTAGTAGACTTTTATAGGCATTTTGAGAGTTTCCCACTTTTTTTCCACTGTGAAAAGGCTCATTGGTTACATAGTGGACCACAATTGGCAGTCGTCATAATGGCTAGCCAACAACTAGCTTTTATATTACACGTTGAAGAGTTATTGGCTGTCACTTTTAGCGAATAAAGAAACCTATGACCAAAACTCTAATTAACTGCTCAAAATGCTTTTATAGGTCCACTGCAAATCCACTATAAAATAATTGCTGGGTTAATAAAGTTGTAATTGGTTATCATTTTCACAGATTTTTATAAAAACACAGTTATTCATAGTTTGTTCATATATAAAAGTTCAAAAGTGTTTCATTAATTAAGTTCATAGCCTTAACCAGAGAGACTGATACTATCCTATTTAGTAAAATAGCGGGTTTTGATCACTGTTTTATTAATTTTTATAAAAAAAATTGTATATACCAATTGAAAAGAAAAACATGATTTTTATCATTAAGTACATATCTTATTTAAGTTAATTGATCATAAGTTTGAGAATCATAGTTTTTTGCATAGATGCTTTAAATGCAAAGGAAAATTACCATTTTAATGTGGTCTTGTCGATGACACCCTCTAACACAAATTTTTGAAAACTTTACTTTGCAGCAATTTTATTGATTATAACTAAATTTTTAAAAATCCTGATAACATTTTTTTATTGCAAAATTTATATAAATTAAACAGAAGAGAATGGACACTAGATTTTGTAAGGTACAAACTTATAAAGGAATAAACACACCGTTACATCAAAAAAAAAAGTTAACTTAATCTTTGATCAATTCGATGCAGAACTTCTTAGTCTAGCAAAAAGAAACAATCTTAACAATTTGTATGCTATAAAAAAAGTTGTTTAGGCAGTTTAGTTTCGTTGTACAGATTTTGACGACAAGGAATGTCAACACCGTATTTTCCCAAGAGAAACTGAGAACTAGTGCAAATATCATTTAGAGAAAGTTCACGGTGAAAATACTTATGTAGAGCAAGTAAATATTTTTGCTACACACGCTTCAGTCTTCAACATTTTGAAACCAACTTTTACTGATTTATCTTCAGATGATTTACTAAAACACCAACGAGATACTGAACCAGATTATTTGAAGACGCTGCCTAAAACGTATTTTTGTGAGTAGAGGGGTCATTGAGTCTGCAGTTAATTTGTCTGAGATTGAATTTTATGAAGGTCCTAATGGAATATTATTTGTACTTAATAAACTTTAACTAACAGAATATGTAACGTCTTTAAAACTTAATGATAAAAATAAAGAAGCTATCAAACGGTCTTTTCAATAGTCCACTGAACGTGTTAAAAAGAGAGAAAAATAGCTAAAAACAATTAAAAAGGCTTAGTTAGATAAAGATGATAAAGAAAGACTTAGTTAGACAAAGGTAATAAAAAAATTGATAAAGAAAAAACTCAAAATATATTCCTAGAGGGTTTTAATATGTTTATATGAACTTTTTATTATGGTTTTATTCTTTTGTTTTATATATTTGTTGTTTCCTCAAAACTAAGTTTTGCCTCGAATACAAATCTATAAAATAAGATTAACTTTAAACTCATTTAAGCTTTGATCTAACTTTTTTTTGCGATTTTTTACATAATTAAAAAGGATGCGGTTGATTGAAGGATATTTAAAACAAAATAAGGGAAGTACTTTTTTATGAGAAAAAATGCTGGACGAATGTTCAGCAATTTTTCTATGTTTGTTTCAAATGTTGTAACCTTTTAGATATTATAAATAATAAAAAATGCTTCACTTATCTGGATTAATATACCTCATTAGTATATAAACCAATTTTCAGCTTGATATGATAAATATTTTGATCACAAAAATTGCTAGTTTTTTCACTCTTATTTTAAATAACTGGGTAATCGAGTCATTATTTTTAAGTTGATTCTTTAAAATAGTTTAAAGAACAAGATTTTTCATGAAAAATATAAATCAAAAAACTTTTTCTATCAAAAGTTTGCCTTTTCTGTGGAGGACCACCTTAAGCTTAAGAAAAAATTTAAAATTTATTTAAAATCCATACTTCAAAACAACAATTTTTACCATGTAAAATAAAAGCTGTTTATTTACAGTTTTATTAGTTGAATAATGTTATTTAGAATTGAGTAGTGTTATTTAGAAAAAGTGCCTTAAAAGTGTAATTGTGTCAAAGAAGGTATTAGAACTAAGTGTATTTTTATCCAAAAATAAATTTAATAATGGATTTATTAAAATGGAATCTTTTTTTGGGCACGCCATATAATTTTGACCTACAAGACCCAGTTTAAACAGGGTTAAGTTGTACTAGAATAAAGATTATTTATTTAATGATCTTATCATCTTGAGACGAACGTTTTTTGTTTTTATAAAAGTTGACGCGCTTTTCTTTATATATCAAACATAAAAACGGCGCTATCTGGAAATTTGAATAGATTACAAAATATTTATGCACTTTCAATGGCCATCTCACCAAGTCCAAAAAATTAAAAGAATATCCATAGTTTTTATAGATAGGGGAAAGCAAAGAAAGATATCAAACGTTTTAAAAATCTTGGGTTATTGCAAATCTTAGAGCAATGAAGCAGTAATATTTTGTCAGTATGATTGTTTTATCATAATGATTCATTGCTTCCATAAGTTTTGAGTTTGCATTTAAAAAAATTGGCCATTAGTCAATGGAGCACGATAATAGAGCAAAATAAGTTTACGTAAAAAAAAAAAAACTACAAAATTACACCGATAAAATACCACACATTGGCATTTACCCTAAAACAATTTTATCTTTTAGGCGTGAAAAACAAAAACTTACGAGTGTATTAATACTTGAACAATATTTAAAAAAACAAAAACTTGTATTTTAAAACACAAGCTATATATACAGATTTGTTTCCACTCAATTTTAAATTTTAGACCCATTTCCTCATACTCTTGTTTTTTTCAAAACTATTTGTTGTATAACTGACAGATTTTTAACGCTACCATACCTAATGATACGAAGCATATTACGAGAATCTTTTGTATGCTTGCAAGTAAGTTTAATTTAGTCTTTAAAACTCCTGGACCTAATAATAGAGCAATTTTTTTTAAATGTAAATCATTTTTTATTTCTAAAGCCAAATTCTTAAAAAAATTTTGTTTTATATATACATATATATATATATATATATATATATATATATATATATATATATATATATATATATATATATATATATATATATATATATATATATATATATATATATATATATATATATATTGTTTAAAAAAACATAATTTTAAATGCAACTAACATTTAACTTAAAGCTGACAATCCTACAATTGTAGATTGCATGAGAAATTTCAATTTAATATTTTGATAAGTTTTAATAGTTCGTTACACTTAATTGAACTTTTTATATTGTAAAAAAAATTCAATTAAAAAAATCAACTAACTTTGTTTTAAATCAGTAATCTAATTAATATATAAACTTTTTTAAACTAGAATATACAAGTAAATGCATGCAAATGCAATTTGATAAACTTTCTCAATAGTAACATATTTACAATATAAACTCAAAACACATTTTTTTCTAATTAAATCTTCAGGATTTTGTCTCAACTTTTTAAGTCTAAATTTAGTCTAATATTGGAATCTAGAGTCTGTTGTTGTAAGTTGATGAAGCTTTTTAAATCTTTCATATACGACTTTATTGCTGGAACAAGACACTAAATGTGAAGATATATTTAATATAATACATACATAAGTTTAGTAAAATGCATAAACTTGTATATATATATATATATATATATATATATATATATATATATATATATATATATATATATATATATATATATATATATATATATATATATATATATATATATATATACCAGGGATGCAGAGTCCTAAAAGGGCTTCTATGAAACAAAAAGTCCTTCAAAAGAAATCTTGCTTTTAAGCGTGAAGTCCTGGAGTCTATGCCCCCTTTATACCTTGGACTTCGGGTTAAAAAATTATTGTTCTACTGATGTCTAAGTCTTGATTTTTTTCCCCATTAGTAACCCTTAGGCCTTTTTACATCTTTAAAGCTAATGGATACCAAAAACTAGAAAGAAGTAATCTTTTTGTGACGTTTAACTCCAGAGTCCTTTTTAGGGATTCCGCATCCATGATATATAGATATAAAATATGAAAAATTTATATATATAAATTATGAATTTATATGTAAAAATAATGAATATTGTTTAAATACAAATTATGAATATTATATACATAAAAATATAAATGCAATAAGTGCAAAATTAACTATAAAACCTCATGATATCTTTGTACAAATATACAGAATCAAATTGATACAGTTTTTGAAACCACGCAAATTAGTTTGTGTTGTAGTTGTTGAAGATATTTGATTTTTAAACTTTAAATGTTGTTTTGATAACAAATCTTTAATGTCTGAATCAAAGCATTAAAAAATTACATGCCATTTTTAGAAAAATTTAAATAAGCACTTTTAAATTTTTCTGAGAAATGACACATTTTAATTGTATTCAAATGCACATTTTTACAAATGATGTAATATTGAGTTAAATATTATTGAAAGGTATGCTGTTGTAAGGCTTCAGATGTTGACATCGATAGAGTGAGGTATTTTAAAAGTATGATCCAGAAGCTTAAAAACATCTATCTTTTTCCCCTAAAAAAAAATAAATTTAATAAGTAACTTTAAAAATTTAAACTCTATAACAATCACAGAACATTTGAAAGTACTTTAAAGAGCACAATTTAGTTTTTTTATTTTCCCCAGGATAAAAAACTCAATTATCTCTTTATTTCAAGTCTTTTTTTTTAATTTTGCATAGTAAATTTTGCTAAATTTCACTAATAAACAAAACATAAGAGATCAAAAGTTTTTTTCTAAAAGTTTTGTCATGTAAAAGAATTAAATATTATCTACTTCTTTTTTTAAAATCAACTTTGCATTGCAAAATATATAGACAATCCCTAATTGAATGTTTAAACACTTGTGAAAACAACTTTGAAAAAGATATGAAATATATTACAAGAATAACGACATTTATCTTCTTCATCAGGTTTTGAAAGCAACTCTTGAAATTATATTATAAAGAAAAAAATAAAGTTGCTTTAACATTCGAAACTTAACTGAGCTGCACATTTGTTTGAAATTAATTCAGCGGTCAGGAAGATATTTGAGAAACTTTAATAATTTTTAAACTAACTTTAATAGATAGTTTTAATTAAACTTGCCAAATAAAATAGTAACATTTAAACTAAACTATTGTGAATATGGTAAAACTATTTAATGTCTTTTAATTGTAAAATAAGCATCATTATCTTTTAAAGAAACAAAAGATAATAATGTTTGAGTATGATTATAAGTTTTCGCCAGATATATTACTTAAATACACATAATAGTACAAGAAAATACACATAAAAAATACACATAATAATACAAGAGAAAAATTTAATTTTTTTAAACTAAATCTTTATATTTAAGAAGAAGACAACATAGCTGTTGTAAATATAAATTGAAATCTTTGAAATTATATTATTACTTTTTAAAAATATACCATCTATAATTTTAACACTATATTTGTAAATAAAAAAAGAAAATAACTAAATTACTTGCAAATAACAAGTTCCGCATCTAAACTTTGTCAATAGAGTTCTTTAAAATAGCCATCTCTAGATTAAATTTTGTTTTGAGTAAAAAGGACAAAATCTAATCTGAAAATAATCTTTATGAATAAAGTCTTTTAATATTGTAAACAAATACTAAACAACTATATACTTAAGAAATAAATATTATAACTTTTATGCCAACTTAAAAGTGACTTAAAATACTCTATTATTTACAATATTATTATAAGCACATTGTATATTATTAGTAACATTATTATAAGCATATAAATTATTATTAATAATATTATCATAAGCATATAGTATATTATTAATAACATTTTTATAAGCTGGTTAAATTTGTAATGTTTTAGGTGAAATTTTAAGCAGAAGTTTACTTACACAATTTAGATTCTAGCTATCTAGAGTCAGAGTGGTTTAAATAAACTTTTACTCAACTGTTGAGTAGAAATCGATATAAATCACTTTGATTCAAGCCAGCTAATACCTTTTAGGTATAAAAATATTGATTTGTAAAGTTGGATAAACTTCAAAATTGATTGTACTCAAAAATATCTACACACATTTTAGTTAATTGCTTTTTTCGTGTAAATTTTGTAAATAAAAATTAAATAAAAGATTTTTAAAACTTTAAACACATGTGTAATTATATAGGCTACTGATATATAATAGATTTCCATAAATTTACTTCTCAAATATACAATTTTGTTTTAATATCAATAATTTACTTTACTCACCAAACAAATTTTTGTCTGCTCAATTAACTTTGAACGAAAATTATTTTGAGCCGGCTGACGACGTAACAACTTAATAAAAAAAACAAAATTATTCAAGTTACAAAACCGAACACGGAGTTGCAATAGCGAACAAAAAAGTTGCAATAACGAACAAGAGTTGCTTTACCGAACAAGCGCGTTGCGATACAGAACATTTTAGTTGCATTACCGCACATCCATATGATCATCATCATCATCATCATCATCATCATCATCATCATCATCATCATCATCATCATCATCATCATCATCATCATCATCTAAAGTTTTTTTGCTTTGATCTTACTTATTTAGTCTATTATAGACTCATATGGTCTATAGGCATGCTTTTGTGCAAATATGAAGTTTAAAGTTTTATGACGATAATGTTTTAATTTGTTTTACATTAACACAAGCTCTTTATGTTTTTAATACAACTTTCCAGTTTTTTGTTGTTGTTTTATAGCTTTTTTACAATAACAGTTAAAAACTTTAAAAAATTTCAACACGTGTTTTATCGTCGGTTAGTTTTAGTAGTTTTCTATGAATAATTATAATAATATAAAATAAATAAAACTAATGCAAATGTTACAACATTTAAACTAGTGGTTTAAATCTTGTAATTATATATTAATATTGTAATAACTAGCGTTTTTACATTTTTTACTCTTACTTTTTTAAGTAACAGTATTGTTAAGTAAAATCAATTACTAAAAGTAATATCTTAATAGAATTAAATATTTTACTTGCTCATTACACCATAGCTGCAATTTAAACTTTATAACTTTATAAATTATAACTTAAAGGGACTACCAAATCCCGAGACATGTTGTGTTCATATTAAAGAGAATGTTAAAAAAAAAATGTCTGAGCAAATTTTTTTTGATTAAAACTAATTAATAAATGTATATCAAGAAAAACAAATCTTGTTGTTTTAGTCGAAGCTCGTCATCTCCGTTTTCTGTGGTATTTTGAGTATATAAAATAAATGCGATTTTCCAGGCGCATTATACAGACTTGATAATTTATTCAAGCGCGTTTAATTCATAGGAGTTTTAGTGTATGAAGTCATTGGAAACATTCTAAAAATTCTTTAAAAATTTTCCTCTTAAATTTTACTAAAATAGCTAACTATAGTTACTTATTTTATTAAAAGTTTATCTTATTAATTTTTCGTTAGTTTTTTACAAATCTAACGAACAATTAATTAAACCAAGCACTAAGAAAAGATATAAAAATTAAGAATATACTAATAAAATATACAATTTGTAATTAACTTTCAAAATTTTGACAACTTAAAAATATATATTATAAAACATTAATTTTTGTAAACAAATGATAAAGATTTATGGCTTTACAGATGTGGCTCCAACAGGCCTTGTTAAGAATCGTTTAGAATATTTAAATTATCGTTTGATATCGTTTATGTGATGTTTATTCAGAGGAAAATTAAGTCTTGAGTAAAAGCATTTAACCGCAATTGTAAACTAATAGATTTTTTGTTAAAGAAAAATTTGTTTAATTATTTTTATTGTTGTTGTTAAAAATTAGTTTAAAAAAAATAAGTGTTTTAAGTTTAAATTTATTATCATATTTAATATTAAGTTTTATATTTCATAAGTTTAAAAGCATTACTTTCAATTTATTTTATTAAATTTAAATATTTTTTTATTAATCATATTTTTTAGTAAATAAATTTGTTAAATTTAATTAAAATTCTTTTATTTAATTTTAAACAGCATTTTAAAATTTTTTAATTTTAAAATGCTTCGTTTTACAATTTTTTTTAGTGATAAAATCTTAAAACTTAAAACACTATTTTTTTTTTTTTTTTGGATTGAGTAAAAAAATAGTAAAAATACATTAGGTTTTACTGTACATAAAAATAAAATATTTTAATGGAAATAAAAAAAAAGCAAAGGCGAAAAGCAGTATATTTCGTTTCTTTACAATTTTTATTTTATCAAAGCAAACGTTTTTTTAAAAAGGGGAAAACCCAATATATGCGTTTAGTTGTAAGTACATTTAAAAGTGTTAAATTTAAATTATTAAGAAAAAAAATATTAAAAAAAAAAACAAGCATAAATCGAATGTTTGAAAGCAAAAAAAAAAAATGTTTAAATAAGTATAAGATTTTAATACAAAAAGACTTTTTTTTAATCAACATTAAAACTTTAGTTTTTTTTATAACAATATTGTTCAATTTAAAGCTATTTTGTTTTAAAGCTATTTCGTTTCTAAGACTAACAATGGTTTTTATTGTCATTTTAAATTTAATTACAATGAAGTAAAAACGCAACTGACATAATTTAACTTTAACAATGTAAATATCTTTATTCAGTAAAGTTACATTTATTTACGTCTCGCTTTTCTGTTACACAGCGAAATCTCGTAACAAGGCCTGCTCCAAGAATGAGCCATAATATTAAAGTAATAGTTCATTTGATAATATATTCTTAAAAAAATTTATGCTAGATATCTCAAAGTGCAACAAATCATAAATAATACAATTTCTAAAACATTTCGACAGAATTCTCTATAACTTTATTTTGCTTAGTCAGCGTATTTTTTGAACCAATAGAATTAGTTTGTTCGCAAATTTGGCAGGTTTTTAGTGTTTGCGAATATTCTTTTTATTCTTCCAAAAGATGTTTTAAGAACATTCAAGTTAATTATGTTTCCACATATGTCTGTAGAATAAAAATTAATATATATTAATTTTTTAATTTTTAAGCCCCCGCCATAATATATATTGGATGTATATTTTTTTATAGTTTTTATAGTTTTAATATATTTTATAGTTTTAATTTTTAAGCCCCCGCCATAATATATATTGGATATAATGGAAATATAAATAATGAAATAAGATCACCTCAATACTGAAAAATACATTTTTGAAAATCAGAGAAAAATGCGTTAATAATTTTTTTTTAAATATTTACAAAATAAATTAATAAAAGTGCATTATTATTTAGGTTAAAAATTATTTTATCTAATATTTTGAAAGTATACATGTGGTCTAGACAATTATTCAAAAAAAGTTGCACAAATAAAATACTATTTTGTTTTTTATTTTATTTTTGTTTTTAATTTTATTTTGTTTTTAATTTTGTTTTACGAACACATTTTAGAACTTTAAAATATAATAAGAATATGATTTGGAAATTGTATGTAAAAAATAACAATCGGTGTTTTAAACAAATAAACAAAAAAATCTATGACGCCATGCACTAAAACTCCTATGAATTAAACGCGCTTGAATAAATTATCAAGTCTGTATAATGCGCCTGGAAAATCGCATTTATTTTACATACTCAAAATACCATAGAAAACGGAGAAGACGAGCTTCGACTAAAACAACAAGATTTGTTTTTCTTGGTATACATTTATTAATTAGTTTTAATCAAAAAAAATTTGCTCAGAGGTTTTTTTTAACATTCTCTTAATATGAACACAACATGTCTCAGGACTTGTTAGTCCCTTAAAGCTGTAAATTTTAAAATTAACTATTTTAAACTCCGCCAAACGAGATAATGATAAAATGATATTTAAATATGAGAGATAATATGTTAAAAAAATAAAAAATACAAACTAATGTACAAAAAATACAATTTTATACTAATGCAACCCCCCTTCCCATTACGGCAAAGTGGCCCCAGGGATGTAGAAAGGGGGAGGAGGAGGGGAATTGGAAAATTTTTTTTTTTCGCATTTAGATTTTTTTGCATTAATTCCAGCCCCCAGATATATATATATATATATATATATATATATATATATATATATATATATATATATATATATATATATATATATATATATATATATATATATATATATATATATATATATATATATATATACACAATCCTCGAAATTAGGGTCGACCTAACTGCCGACCTGAAAGTGTTTTAGGTTGGCAAAAAATTGCCGACCTTGTTTCTATGTTTTATGGTCAGACCATTGTATCAAATAATTTTTGCCGACCTGATGCTGACCTCAAAAATATTGAGGTCGGCAAATTATTGCCGACCTCGTTTTTCCTAATTCCGAGGGTTGATATAAATATATGTATATGTATATATATATATATATATATATATATATATATATATATATATATATATATATATATATATATATATATATATATATATATATATATATATATATATATATATATATATATATGTATATATTTAAACACACACACATGTATATAGATATATATGCATATGTATCAGGCTTGGCCAGGAAGGCGTGCAATTTCATGTTGTAATATGACCATGCAAATACTATATGATTTTACTTAACTTGACCATGGCTGTTAAAATGTTTTGAAAATTTTTATACGTTTTAAAAACACGCTAAAAAAAATTAAATCAAATCTTAACTTATCTATAAAGAAACTTAAAAAATTATATAGTTGTATAAGCAAATAAACTTTTGTAAAAAAAATGATAAAAAACAAAATTAAAATAACTTAACTAAAACTAAAGTAGCAAAAATAAAATTAAAACTTTACTAATATAAATAATAAACTATAACAATGAGATTATCTAAATTGCATTTGAAATAAATAACTTTGAATCATTTATCTTTACTAATGTTTTTATTTTATCTTTATATTTACTAATGTTTTATTTAATTGTTTATCTTTACTATTGTTTTTATTTAACCCTTTTTAAATAAAGTAACAACTTACAACTGATGATTGTTTAATAAACGTGCACATTTTAAAGTTTAAAAAGATATTCTTAACAATTCTTCGCACAGAAGAAAAAATAATTCAATTGTTTATTTAAAAAATTGATATAAATTTTTTTTATTTAAAAACATTTATTATAAAAATAAATATTTATATAATACTAAAAAAATATATCTTATTTATTAATGCTTTTATAAAAAATCATTAGAAGTGATTTGTTACTTTATTTAAATACGTTATAAAAATGTAAGTAAAATTCAAAGTTATTTAATTCAAACAGCTTTCAAAAATGTTTGTCTTTTTTTTTCTCAACAAAAATTTCAACTGCTCTTATATAAAGTTTATGAAAGGGAACTTAGCTGTTTAAAGTTATCGTTTATAAAATTTAATTTTTACTTTTTTTATTTTTACTTATAAAAAAATCTTATATAATTAAATAATATAAATAAAAAATTATACAACTTCAATGATACTCTAATTTAAAAGCATTTTTCTAATATAAAAATGTTAGTAAAGATAAATGTGTCGATGTAATTTATTTTCAAAGTAAATAAAAACCAATTTTT